TTATGGAAATTTATTGAAGCACATCAAGAAGACTTGGAGGCTATTCAACAAGCGTTAGAAAATTCCGCTTCGAGTTCTAAAGAAGCCTCATATCCATATACACGACCACTTGGTAATAACCCTAGTGAGGTATGAGAGCTTGATAACGATGATGATACTACTTTTGATGAGCTTGCGTTTGAATTTGAAAAATTATACAATAGCTATATTAATTTAAAAAGTAAGCATGTTAATATAAAATCCACTCATGAAACACTAGTCACTAAGTTTGATTTCATTACATGTTAATATAAAATCCACTCATGAAACACTAGTCACTAAGTTTGATTTCATTACAAATGAAAATATAATTCTTAAAGAATCTCATGAAACACTAGTCACTAAGTTTGATTTCATTACAAATGAAAATATAATTCTTAAAGAATGCAATGAAAATTTGAGATTAGAAAATGCTAGGTTCTCAGGAACGCTAGGGTTACCACGGTCTGTCTCGCGCCCAGAACTGTCAGAACGCGTTTTCGACGGTTTTTTGCTGTTTTCTCGGGATTTGTTCATTCCAGAGCATCTCAACTACCTAGATATCATCCATAAATATGGTTAGGTCGTTGTCAACTGAAGATAAGGTCAAATCTATCGTTCTTATTCGAAAACTCCTAACCAAAGCCTATAAATACAGGCCTAGGGACTCATTTCACAAGGGCGAATTATTATCAAGACGAGGAGGTACTGTCAAGTTGGAGAGCAAGGGAGCACGAATTTCAGAGGAGGCAAGTTAAATCCTGGCGAACTTCAGCATAAAGAGGAAGGCTTTTGAAGGATCTGAACCCGTATTCCCCTCCGTCTGTTCCATGAGATTAGGCTTGGTCTTAATCTCGAGAAGAGCTACTGATTTTGCTTGGTCGATTTCTGTGCTTCAAGCGAATACTTCCTTGGTAATGTAGGAGCTCTGATTCATCATTCTGTCAACCGGATCCAATTCATAGGCAGTCCACGGATGTCAACGTCCCCGGCACAGGCAAAGATCCTACGCAAACAACAGGCGATAAACATTTGCTGTGTGTAGTTTAACAAGAGTTGTAATCTTAATCTTTAAATTCATTATGTAAGAAGATCTTATAAAAAGATCAACTTTTTATTCATTTGAGTTTATTGTAACGCCTGAAGTTGTAATAGATTCATCATAATGAAGAAATCAACTTTTGAACCAAACATATATGTATAAGCGATATATATGAAACAAATGTGTATGTGTATGATTTGAGCTCTAAGTATAAACACATAAAGTAAAACCCTAAAACACTATACCCAAGCTTAATTTGCATGAAGCTCGATCTTGGACGATCCTCAGCTTAGTAGTAGGGATGAAACACGATATTGAATCTTTGACTTGGATGGTATCACGCTTCATTCCGATTTCCTTCAACCTCCATGAATATCATCGTTATCGCTCAAGTTCCAACCAACCTAACAGAGGATGTTTGTGTAGGATACCTAACAAGCAAATGCAAATACTCAAAAATAATGTTAGGAATTATTTGTTAATCATCAAAATCAGATTAGACAATAGGCTCATAAGTATGAGATCTAACAACCTGCACTATTAGTAAGTTATGTGCCATAATGGAAAGTATAAGATATAAAACTGTTCCATATACACTCCACCAATGCAAAATATCGAAATCGTTATTTTGAGAATAAACTAGAGGTGCAGCTAAATATTATTCAATTTTAGAAATTTTTCTTATTGATGATCCAGATCCACGGCTATTACCAGTTAGCCTCACTATCATCGGTTGCCTATCAAAAATCTTACCTTTGCCCCGTCTTGAACTTGTAGAAGCCGTAGGTTAAGTTGTACTTACACCATATCTACCTGCATACTCAGTATATAATCTTTGAAAATAATATTTAATAGTGTTATGATGAGTAAATATAGTAATAGTCTGACCATCATCAATGTTTATTATCACGTTCTCATATAAAGAATTTAACAAATTTTGAAGCCCAATATCCTTCAAGCGTGGATTAATAAGAACGCCAAACCAAAAATAATAGAAATATGTCTAAAATGCTTATTATATTTACTTTCTATTTTAAAAATCATGTTTTCAAAATAATAATCCAATACGATAATTAGTAAAAAAGTTTGAATACTTAAAACTTGTAATACAGCTTGAGTAATAGTTGGATAATAACAACCAGATAATAACATAGTAGCTTCATAAAGACTTGTAATATCTCTTTTATACTATGTATAACTGTCCATTCATCATCAGTTATTCTATATATACTACTAGAGTTAGAACTAGAAACATAAAAAGCAATAAAATCATTAATAATTTCTTCATATTCTTTTGCTATATTTAACATTGCATAGGTAGAATTTCACATGTGGTCAACATCTTTTGGAATTAACTTGGGTTCTAAATTTTTTCTTTTACAACATTGTTTTCATCTTTGAAGTATTTGTTCAGAAGCATTATGAGCGTGAGCTATAATCCTAACTTTTTCTATCATAGGTTTAATTTCATTATATGTACTTTGAACAATTAAATTTAAAATATGACATATGCATCTTATTTGAAAAAGACCACCATGACATGGCAATAGCAAAGATGATTTAATATTGATCTACAACTATATTATTATTACTTGTATTATCTAGTGAAAGGAAAAATATTTTTTCATCAGAAATTTCTAATTTAGAAAGTTCTTCCATTATTAAATTTGTAACATTAACACGAATGTGTGAATCTACAAATGCAATAAAATAAACAACTCTTTTAAACATTTGTCAAGTATCATTAATCAAGTGTGCTATGATACATAAATAACTAGTTTGTGCTCTAAATGTCCAAATATCAGAAGTTAGAAAAAATTTACAGTTTAAGACTTGAAAGTAAGAAATTATTTTTGCTTGTTTATTGTGATAAATTTTAAAATATCACGTTTACAAGATTGATGAGAAATTTTTTAAATTGCAAGATAAAAAACATCACCAATCATATTTTCAACTACATCGTCTTCTACTAATTTAAAAGTAAGAACAATAAGCCTTGTTATGGTGTTTTCAGTCGCCAAATACGATCTTTTGCTAGCAACAGACATGTGTCCCCCTACATGCACTGCTCAAACCAAACTAACAGTCAAGGCAACTAAGGATCCTAACTTAGCCAACCCGCAGAGTCGACGTCTCCTTAGGCTAACTCGAAGGGCGGTACTTGTTGGTCCTCTTGTCGAAATGACTCGCTTAGAGCATACTCGACTAGTTATTCAACGCCTCTCTAGGTCGACTCAAAAGGCGTTACTTCTCGGACAAACTGAAGGACGACTTCAGCCTCGAGCCTCTTCCACTAACAACACGTCGGCGTCATATTTAATGCTAGGTAGACGCATCATACCTCTAGCCCCGATAGTCTTTATGACTCATGAGACCATGTGAGCACCGCCATGTCTCCAATCACTTCACATTAAATGCTGCGGTGATCTCTCCTCCACTCGCCTACCGGCGTGTGTAAAGTAGGTGCTGACGTAACCGCCAACCCATACTTATTTATCGCCATCCTATGCTCGGTCGAAATAACGATTCTATACTTTCAACACCACTATAAATAGAGGTACTATTCTCAATATAAGGGAGGAATTTTTTCTGCACTACACTAAAGAAATATCTACAAATTATAACTGCACTACACTAAAGAAATCATACAGTTCTTTATTTTTCCACTCAAGTTTATCAGCTGACTTGATCATCAGAAGTACAATGGGGGAACTAAGCTCCGTCCTCTCACGAGTTGCTATTTGTGAAGGTTAAAGCTACTCAACTCAAAACCAGATATTCGGAGAAGTGAGTGGGCCCCTAATCAAACTCACCCCCTTACATATTTGATTGTTTGATTATTTAACATCAACAAGCCTGATAGCGCATTTCCTAGCTTTAATTGCGTTGTAGTTCTAGGAATCGAGACTACTGGAGGTCGATGATTGAGAGAGTAAAGATTGGCGAAGGTCTTCTTAGGACGTTCCTCCTTACGTTCTGTTGGGTTTTTCCAAATGGCATTTGAGATGGTTGGTGTCGCTCTTATGATGAGTTTAAAAAATATGGTCGCATAGCGCACATTTGGCCTTCTTGGTGAGAAATTTATCGTGTTGATCATTTGTGACTTCTATCTTCTCGAAAAAATTTCACACATTGGATATGAGCTTTTTGGAAGCTCTAGGTGTGAGATCATTGCCATCGGAATCGGGATCAACATCGGTAGTAGAAGTAGTTGTAGGCTCTATAGGTGTACTAGGACTCATTTCGGTATCGGGAGTTGGAACTTGTGCTTCATAATCGGAGGAGGAAGCCATTTGATTAGAGAATTAGAGATTATAAGAGAGAATAAGAGAAGAGAGAATAAGAGAGTATCAGAGAGTATAATATAATATTAGAGAGAAGTTAGATAAGTTTTGGATGGGAAAAATAAATTAAAACTCCCTCTATTTATAGACGCAACCCCTAGCCAAATGACCAAAATATCATCAAATTTTGGTCCTTTTTTGACCTTTTTGGAGTATTTTGGTCAAGTACCCCAAAATAGCTGTTATGGCTCGGCGTTTTCCCGGCCGACTTTGGTGTGGGCGCGGCCGAGGCGAGTTGGACCTGAGCCTAGAGCCCGATCAAGCCTAGAAACCCGGGCTTTTCCTAGGTTCGGGCTAGGTGGTGGCCCGGTCGGGTCGGGTCTAGACATCAGGCCGGGTTCGGGCCTTCGGCCCGAATGGACACCCCTAATGACATCCCAAAATACAAAATCCAAAATTCAATTGTTTTAATTTGGCGGCACAACTCGAGCTCCACAAAAAGGATTTGGTTCATGCCATTTAATTATTTATATTCTTTAAACTGACAACATATGAAAATGAAAATATAATTAATTTAATTTAAAAGAAAAATATGACAGAGTAAAGAAGTGATGCCCCTCGTGCATGAAAAAAGAGGAGGTCGTGCAGACATTCTTTCTCTCGCCCGCCCTTCCCGCTCCCCCGTTTCCACAGTCTTCGAAGAACCAGGTACTTACCAACATAAAAAAAAATTAAAAGAAAGAAAGAAAAAAAATTACGAAAAAGGACAAAAAAGAAAAAGGAAAGAAAATCTTATTCAATCAATTCGATGTAAGTTTCTTCTCTTCCAACCCTAAATCTTTCAATTTTTGTCCCAAACCCCCTATTTATTCGTCTATTTTCCCCCCATTGTCTACGTTTTTTGAGCGTTTTCGACATCGAAAATAACGATTTGGTACGCTCAGAGCGATTTTCTCGATCCATGGGTTTGTTTCTCGATCCACATTATCTTTTTTATTTATATTTTTAGACGATTTGTAGAGGATATTGTTTCCCCTTTTTTCTGCATTCAAAATTTCCAATTGATGTGAAGAAGTTAGAAAAAAAATTCGATTTTTGTTCCTCTTTGAAGTTTTTGATTGTAAGAGACTAATGTCCCTAGTATTTATTACTCAAAGGACAACAAGTTGCTTGTTTATATAATATAAATAAATGGAAATTTACGGATTTAGATATGTGGCATGAGACATTGGAGATATTATTTTAAGTTTTAGATTGTTAGGTCACAATATCCCTCCCTCTCTCTCTCTCTGTATCTCACTTTAAATTCAGACCACTAAAACTTATTGTTTTAGGTTGAAAGTTAGTTTCTTGATAGCATATTTTCGATGATTATTGAGTTCAATAATAAAGTTTGGTGCTTTAGTTTTTTAAATGGATTATTATCTATAGAAATGTGAACTAAATAAAGTAGTAAACGAAAGTGCTCAAAGACCTATTCGAGGGAATTGAAGAAAAATCAATGCATGTGAAATATTTTGCAACGGGGGCTACTGCATCAACTGAATGAATGTGTTTGGGGTGCAATAATGTTTGCAGTTCTGTAGTATTCCTGATAATTATCCTTCTATATGTATCTTTTCTGGAATATATATTGATGAAACAAATACAAATTTTTATGTTATGTACTACTTTTTTCTTGAGAACTAATGACCATTGCCTTTCAGGACGGTAGATCGGAGGTATTGGGCTTCTGTTTTGTTGAAAACTGACTCTTAGAGGAAATAATATTGTAATTTCATCAAGCTATTACATATTTTGATATCATGGAGAATGAGCACACAATTAAAAGTGACAAGGGCTCCCTCTCTGAATTGTCAAGTCCAGAGGATAGTCCAAGGGGAAGTGGTGTTGGGGGAAAAGAAGAAAATAGGCTGTTAGGAGAAATGGAGTCTCTAACTGTTGACAAGATTAACCATGAAAATAGGAGCGAAACTGAACGAGAAATTTCCGAGAGTTTAAATGAAATAGGTCATTCTAAAGAGGAAGTTCTGATTGCCGATAAAGAGAATAAGGAGAGTGACTCAGAATCTGAGAATCAGAATGATATGAGTGTAGCACTAGAAACTGAGAGGAACAGTGGATTAGATACTGACAGTCCGAATGAAAAGAGACGTTCCTCAGAGAAAACCCTTGTTGAAGAGAAAGAGAGCGACTCTGAGACTGAGGAGCCAAGTGAAATCAGCCAGAAGGCTGACAAAGTTGAGGAGGAGATTGGTTCAGACTTGGACAAATTTAGGACATTGAGCAATAATGCAATGGAAGAGGAGAGTGATTCAGTCACTGAAAGACTGCACAACATGAGCCATACTGCAACAGAAGTTCCTGTCATAGATAAAGAGATTGGTTCAGACTCTGAGAATATGAGCAGAAATACTCAAACTACTGATAAATTAGAGGACAGTGACTCAGACTACGAGGATCCAAACAAAAGAAGTGTTGTTAGAGAGGAAGTTCATATCCTAGAGAAGGAGATTGGAAAAGACTTTGAGAACGTAAACGAAGAGAGCCAGTCTCCTATGATAGTGAAGGAGAGAAATTCAGACTCTATGAGTCCAAAGGAAAATAACCATACTACATCTGAATGTATGAACAATGGTTCAGATTCTAATAATCCGAATGAGAAAATACAGTCTTCTGAAGAAGTTGAGAAAGATGGTGATTCTGATTCTGAGACTCTGAACAAGACGATCACGATGAGCACAACTACAAGGGAGGTTCTTATTGAGGAAGAGATTGGCTTGACCTCTGAAAACAATGCGAGTCAGACAGAAGAAGATGTCATTGAGGTTAAGGAAGTTGACCCTGTTTTTGATGGAACTGAGGCGCCTGAGGCGGGAACAGGAAGAACATTATCTAGTCAATCCTTGGATCTCTATCCGGATTCACCGACAAGTTCTTGGCCTGAAAAGGCTGCTGCTCTAAAAAATCTTGTTAAAATGAAAGGAGCAGTTGCAGTTTCAACTGTTCTTCGCCGCCTTTCCGGTGGAAAGGACGATGGTGGAAATCCTGATGAGGAAGAAAAGAATGTCATTATGGAGAGTTCAGTTGAAGAACCAGTTATGAAAGGGAGGATAATTTTATACACAAAGTTGGGCTGTCAGGAATCCAGAGAGATCAGGTCATTTATGCATCAGAGGGGGCTAAAGTTCATCGAAATTAATGTGGATATCTATCCTAGCAGAAAGTTGGAACTTGAGATGAAAACAGGATCTTCTGCTATTCCACGGGTCTACTTGAATGACTTTGTTGTAGGGGGGTTAACTGAGCTAGAATCCATGGACGAGTCTGGGAAATTTGCTGAGCAACTTAAGGCTCTTGCTCATGAGGAACCATCAGATGAAGCTCCTTTGCCTCCATTTCCCGGTGAGGATGATGTTTCTGCAACTGGAAAGATAGATGAGTTGGCCTCAATCGTCAAAAAGATGAAAGAATCAATTGTTCTTAGTGATAGATTTTCCAAGTTGCGAAAGTTCAACAATTGTTTTCTTGGGTCTGAAGCTGTTGATTTCCTGTCACGAGATCAGGACTTGGAACGAGAAGAGGTTAGTTCACTGAGCATGTGATTTAGTAAAGTTGGATATTTCTTTTTTCTGAATGGAATATTGAAGCTTAATTACTTGATCTCTTGGATTTTTATGCATATATAATATTTATAGTCTAACACAGATCACTATCTTTAGATACTGGCTTCATATTTTTGTGATTGCCTGGCTGTTACCTACTAAAAAGCTGTCATTTTAAAAATTTTCCCCATGGTTTAGCTTTCCCCCTAAATAACAAACCTAAATGTTCTCCTTACATACTAGTCATTGTTACTCGAATAGTCAACTATTTCATTCGATCAGGACCAGCCATCTCCTTCGCTTCTTTAGATTACTTCATCGGTGAACTGAGTCATCAGATGCGAGGATAGCTGGCATCTATGTGAAGTGAAGCTCATATCTTTTCAGCCGTATGGTTACTTACTTTACTGATGCTGTTACCTGTATAAATTTCGTTGAAGTTGTGTTATAAGGTTTGCCTAGGTTATAGATTCATTCTTGTACCATTAGCCTATACATAATATTCATGCAGGAGCTCCTATATTAAAAAGGTTCATACTTCGTCTAATTTGTTTTCTTAGATAAGTCTGCTATGTGAGTTTAAATCACGTCTTACTTTTCCGCATTGAGGGTATACATATACATTCTTATATGTTATACAGGTCTATTGGCTTCTAATAAATGCCATCTCACTAGCCTATCTCTAAAAGTTTGTGCAGGAAGCTCAATATTAGAGAGTTCTTTTTGTAAGAAATTTATATATTCCTTCAATTGCAGGTCAGCATTGTCTATGGAAAAAAAAATTAAAAATATGTTTCAATGAAAATAAGACTAAATAAGCAAAGCTTCTTCGACTATAACTTTGCTGATAAATCGTAGTTTTTCATTGCAGGCAGTCAACCTCGGAAGAAAACTTGTGAAAGGACTATTTTTTCGGCAAGTCTTGGAGTAAGTGATCTACAGCCATCGATCATTTCCTTTTTCTTTCCACACATATGGGTTTGTGATTTTGACTGGGCATTTTGCTTAGTGGTCTGATTATTCTATTTGCTTAATAATATGCTTACACTGCTGCAGTGAAAATATATTTGAAGATGGGAACTACTTGTATCGGTTCTTGGAGCATGATCCCTTAATTTCAACTAATTGCTACAATATGACGAGGGGTGTAAATGAACTAAAACCTAAGCGTGTTACTGAAATCGCATCCCGATTAAGGTTTGTGTCCTTTGCGATCTTTGAAGCTTATGTAAGTGAAGATGGCAGACATGTTGACTACAAAAGTATTCATGGCTGTGAGGAATTCAGAAGGTTTGCTACATAAATTTATTAGCTATTTTTTGTTTTACCGAAGAACATTTTTGTCTTCTTTTCATGTAATATTTTTTCATCTCTTTCACCCCAAAATTTTATGCATATAATGCTATTAATAATTGTAGTGCTGTCAAAACTTTTATTAAGCTGCCAATGTAAAGCTTTTTCTTGTGATTGATTTTCTTTTAGTTGTAAGAAGTTAGCAAGTTTTTCTCACACCACATTGCAGATGGATTGATTGCTAAATATTCTACAAGTCTTTACATGTATCTATTTATTCATCTTTTACTGGAAGTAAACATGCTAGCGCTTATATATTTTATGAAACTTCATTATAAAAAATGTATACTTTCTAAAAAGAGATATTATTTGCAAAAACAAGTGTGAAATGTAAATTGTCAAACCCAAATGGATCAAAAAATATTTAGGACAACTATCTGGTGTATGTTCTTTGTTGGTGTTGTGACTTTGGCCATGAGTCACCAAATTCAGTAAGCTAAATCTTAGTGCCTTCTTGGACGCATTAGAAAATGTTCATAGAAATGTTGAACACTTGCTGAAGACAGCTTAAGAAGTTTTCTTCTTTGTGCCCGCCCTTGTGTGTATACACTGGTAAAATGAACATCCACCAATTGCATGTGGATAAGAAAAACAACCCAATGTTTATGATAAAAACAGGAGATGACAGGTCACAAATCCAGTAGAACACACTTATTTGTGGTAAAAACAGGTTAATAAATAATAATATATAAAAAGAACTTAATTGAAATCATAAATCAATTGAAACCATAGAACTGAAAATATGTCAATATGACCTGGTCAAGGATACTTATGGGATTGTGGAGAAGAGAGGAGGAGGAAGGGGCAGGGATTTATGAGTAGATTCTCCTGAAATCTGCCATGACTCACATTCTGCATTTTTCTTTAATTTTATGCTGGCGAAAACAAAGAAAAGGAAAATGATACCCCATATACATTCATACTCTAATTCTTAACTAGCAGGGCTCATGATTTATGCTAATATTGTATGTTACTGCTTCTTACTATCCTACGTCAACTTGACCGCCAATTGTAACTGCATCCATAGCTCCTGTAGCTCATTACAATGTTTTAACTTAAACAGTGTATGCATACTGCATCCATAGCTCTTTTTAGTCTCATTGCAATGTTCCAACTTAAAAGTGCATACATACAATTAACTTCATCTTTCTTTTGTAGTAATCTGACTTTCATATGTGCAACTTTGTGTATGCAATCTTTTGACTGTCATAGTTATCTTTATATGATTGTTTGTATTGCGAGTTGCAATTTTTTAAAATTAAGCGAAAAGTTGTTAAATGCCATTGGGTTTATGAATTATGCATAGGTACTTGAGAATAATAGAGGAGCTTCAAAGAGTGGAATTGGATAACATATCCAGAGAAGAGAAGCTTGCTTTCTTCATAAACCTATACAATATGATGGCCATCCATGCGATATTGACGTGGGGTTATCCCAATAGTGCTGCTGATAGGAAAAAGTTTCTCGGAGAGTTTAAGTATGTGGTTGGTGGGTGCCCCTATTCTCTTTCAGCAATTCAAAATGGTGTACTGAGGGGTAACCAACGGCCTCCATACAATATTTCCAAGCCTTTTGGTGCAAGAGACATGCGTTTCAAGGTAAAACAAACTATGTTTCATATCCAGTGAGGACTTTAATTCTGAATATAAAAGAAATTTAGATCTTCCTTGAATTGTAAAAGTAGTGTTAACAGCGTTCAACTGGTCAGTCTTGTACCCTAATCTTCTTGATCCAACCCAATAATGTGTGTTATTTACGAAGCTTAGAAACTCCACATTAACTTGAATCAGCTTGAACCCATACTCAGCTACCCATATCCACCCAAAAATGTGTATTCTTTTAGGTGTGTGCATGTGCATGTCTGTTTGCATTTTGCATGTGATTGCATGTGATTGCATGTGTGCATGTGCATTGCATGCGTTTGCATGTGTCTACATGTGCTTAAGTGTATACTTATGTATAGCATGCACATTGCGTAGATGCTTATTATCAAAAGAGTCACGAAGATATGACAGTTGTACATGCCATGTACCAAAACCTTAACCCAGATTTACATTGTAAGAAGGAATTTTAGCAATCTTTTTTTTTAATACAAATCTGAAGCTCCATGGTTTTTAATTATCCAGGTGGCTCTGCCTTATGTAGAACCTCTTATTCACTTCGCCTTGGTATCTGGCAATGTATCTGGTCCTCCACTCAGGTGCTACTCCCCTGGTAACATTGACATGGAACTCATGGAGTCTGCTCGCAATTTCCTAAGGAATGGAGGTCTCCTTGTTGATGCTGAGACAAAGACGGCATCTGCAAGTAGCATCATTCGATGGTAAGACTTAACTAATAAACTCAATTTCACGAAATAGATTACTGATCCAGTTTGCACAATTTGATTCATGGCTCCGTGTGGACAAAACTGGCAATCCAAAAGTAAAGGGACTTATTTGCATTTATGTATTTCTCTTGTATTATCTTATTTGTCAAGTTTATTTATGATTTTAATGACTTCTGGCTTTAGAATTTCGAGGTTAAATTTCACACTTGAATTTTATAAATGGTGGGAGCCCTGAACTCATCTCACTAAAGTACCATGACCTACGTCAATTAGTTAAAGTTGTCACGTGTTCCACACGTGACAATTTTACCTCTGTATACTAAAGATAACTTCTGTTTTATCTTTTTCTGGCTAAGGGTATGTAGAAAAGTAAAAGGGATTCCTTCGACATATTGCTCTGCTTTATGAGAATCTCTGATAGCCTGTTTGGAAGGAGGGGAGAGAAGGGAAGGGGAAGGGAAATTTTGGTTTACCTTTGTTCAGGAGTTCCATTTAGAAGGGTATAGGGAGGGGAATGAGAGGGAAAATTGAACTAAAATCTTACCCTCCAAATTGGGGGTAAAGAAGGGGAAGGGAAGGAAGACAAAATTTCCATTCCTTCCCTTCCCTTAGTCATCTCCCAAACACACCGTAATAGTTTGAGGGGGTATAAGTTTGAAAGTGTAATGGTGCATTCAATGATTTATAAACTTTAGTGGGATTTTGAAACATTTAACCAAAATTTGCATTTTTGAGTTGGTCTTTAATTATTTACTTGCAATAGCATTTGCAACTTGCTTTAACTATCAAACCAGAGCTGCTTTTGGCTTTTATTTTAGATATTAATGAAAAGATGCTAGTCCCATTATCTCAGTTCTTAATATTATGTCGTACATGTATACATATGCATCCTGTCTGTACGATTTACTGTAAAATAATCCATCATTATTTCCATGCTGTAAACCAAAATCCAGAAGAAGGCGTAAAGCTGAAATTTGGAAGATAAATCCTGACAGATCTCAAAATGTTCTTCTACAGGTACAGTGTGGATTTTGGAAAGAACGAGGCGGAGGTAATGAAGCATTTATCAAATTACCTTGAACCATCAAAGTCCCAGGACCTTTTGGATTTGCTTGCAAACAATCAGTTGCGGGTCACATACCAGCCTTACGATTGGGGTCCTAACTGCTAGCATTTTCCCTTGACTGTTGTAGTTCCTAATTTCTCTATCTGAACTGGACAGTTAGTGATTTTTCAGCTTACATTAGTACCATAAGAATCAGGGTAATCTATTCTTCATTGCGAGGATACTTGTTTAACTTTAGGAATTGGCTTGGTATACAAATGCAAAGGACCAACGACATCATCAGATATGTATCAGATGAGTTTCTGCTTGTTTTTGTACAGACTTGACACCAGTCTTTACAAGCCAGCTTTGGTCCCGTCTTTTTCCCCCCTGTTTAATTACGCTTTAAAACCATTCCTGCACTCAAAATCTTCATCTCGGAAAATAATTAGATGATGAACCCTTCATTATGGAAGGCTCATCGAAATTTTCTCATGTGTGGAGTGTTTTAATAAAATTTGTGTTCTACATCATGTAGGTTGTTTCTCATGTGTGAAGTGTTTTAATAAAATTTATGTTCTAAATCATGTACGTGGCATGCGTGAAGCACAAAAGTTTTCTGTCTCCTGATGTATACCATGTGTATTGTGTGTCTATTAACAGAACCCTACATCATTATTTCATTTAGAAAATCATCACGTATGCGCATCTCGCTTCCCCATTCTATTAACCAGCACATGTCCAAATTTGCAATATAAAATGAGCTGAAGACCAAATGTGCAATATGAAACATTGTAAGAAAAGATAAACTAATAAAATGCAGGCACATGACTACACTAGTCCAAAGCATCTTGTGGACTTATTCAAACAAAGGAATGAACCACACAATTCAACAAAGGAATGAATCTCACAATTCACAAAAGTAATGTGGACAGATGTCATAGTAATCAGTATCTTCTCATAAAGAAATCGAAATAAATGTGGCTGCGCATCACTAATCTAGTTTTTAATTAAGAAGGACCCATACGAATATGACATACCATCTTTCCTTACAAAGAGCATGACATAATACTTAATAGAACAATATCTTATCACTATGAATAGCCGCTTTTCAATGATTTATTATTTACATGAAGAGACACATTACTTTTCAATCTAAATAATTTATTCTTTACTTGAGGTTAGATTTAAAAAAAAAAAAAACTGAAAATGAGTACACCTGGAAATGTAGGCATAAGATGATGGTTATGGCAAACCATAATTGTGCTAGATATGCCTTTCAAATTAATTGGGTTAATTTCACAAACCAGTTATAATTTGGAATATATAGTAGGGTTAATTTCACAAAACCCCCAAGACTAAATTATTTGGTCATTGAGTAACCCTAAAACATACACATACGTGTCCTTTTAATTAACTTGCCTGCCAAGCTCTCGCATAGATTCTGACTTTCCAACAGGCTCTATAAATACCCACAGCTCAACTCAACTCAGAGAAACAAAAAAGAAAGAGAATAATTTATTTGAAGCAATGGCATCATCAATGGCAGGAGACATTGTCGGAGCCTATTTAATGACGAAGATCCATAAAGAGAAGATGGAGAGATTAAGACAACAAGAGATGGAGAAACAAGTAGGCCATTCTGCTACAAACAAGAACAAGAGTGGGGGTTTCTTCGGACTCCTGAAGAAGAAGGTGCACCCAGGCGGCACGCAATCTGATGAGGCCGGAGCTCCAATCACCGGCAGGTGAACTCGGGTTGATGATGATTGTGGCGTTTTGATTATAAATAGACATGTTGTTTTCTTCTTGTGGGCTATGCAAGTTTGTTAAAACGAAGTAGCCTCTGGCTCGAGATATATTATAAGTTTCATCCTTTGACATACATACTAGATTGAGGGCATTGTCATTGAGATTTAATCTTGTATTTGAAATATCAGTATCCTATATGAAAATCTTGAAGCGAGTAATATTGGGTTTTGGTGACTTTTTTGTATCCGGTGAAGCAGAATTAGAAGCTTCTAACTAATGTCATCAGGCCTTGATTTGTATGGAGTATTTTGAAATTTGATCAATGTCCTAATTGTTGAATATTATATAATTTTTTCCTCTCACATGGGCTGCTGCCTAACAGAGCCGCCCATGTTTTCTTTAAATTTTTCCAAAGTGGTGGGCCTCACCGAAGAAAAATTTGGATGTGGGTCTCATATGCATAGTAAAATAATATTATTTTATTAGTGCATAGTATTTTCCCAAACGCTATAAATAGATCCTAAATCGTTAAGGAAAATTCATTTCAAAAACAACAATCAATATATACAGATATATATGTTGTAGAATATCTAGTGCTCGTAGGAACAATGCCTGAACCGAGAAGGCCTTATAGATCGAGAAGATCTTTGCCTGATAGATCAATGAGATCTTTGTCTGATAGATCGAGAAGATCTTTGCCTTATAGATCGAGGAGATCTTGACAGTACTAGGTCGGTGCACACCAGAGTACTGGACTACTGTTTCTGGAAGTAATTTGGCATTGGGATCCTTGCACTGGAGTAGACCAAATAATGCTTTAAGCACAGCGTTTTACAAACGCACAACAGCTGAGTTAAAAAATTTTACTGTTATATATCTGTATTATTCTAGATTTAACCATAGGCACAAACAATCTTAAAGCATTATTTTGATCTACAATGGATCCTGCGAGGACTATTGGAGTAGACTGTATTAAGTTAGAGAACTTTGACGGTTATAACTTCAACGCATGACATTAGAAAATAATCTTCGGGATGCAACTCCTTTAAATATACTATGTGGTTTATGAGGAGAAACCTGACTCTGAAGAAGATTCTGAATCTGAAGCCTCTTGAGCTAGAGATAATCACTTCTGCAGAAATTATCTTCTTAACTGCATGGCCGATCATTTAACAGATGCTTACACCAACAAATCTTTTACAAAGAAAATCTGGAATGCTCTGGAGGACCAGTACAAGGATGAGGAGAAGCTGCCCAAATTATCACCTCATTGATAAGTTTCTGGACTTAAATTTTGAATATGACACTGAGGTTTTGCCTCAAGTTAAAGATCTTGAAAAGCTTGTTATGAAGCTGAAGGATGAAAAGATCAGTCTTTGTCAAACCTTCATCTTTGGTGCAATTGTCAACAAGCTTACTCCATCTTGGATTTTATTCTCCACTGATATTCAAAGAAGGAAAAGACATGTGACTCTGGCTAATTTGAAGAGGTTCATTCGGATCGAGGACGAGACTTGGACTCGCACGAAGACTAAGCTCCTTGCTAAGCAAAAGACGTCTGCTAATATGATGGCTGCTAACTCTGAAAAGGGTAATAATTCATCTTTCAAGAAGAAGAAGTTCGTTAACAAAAGGATGAACCAGAATCCAAAGAACCTGAATGTTCAGAATGAGGAGTTCAAGAAGAGCCGCAAATGTTTTAATTGTAGGAAACAAGGGCATTTTGCCAAGGACTGAAAAGCACCAAAGAACGAAACTACACACAATGTCAAGATTGTGTGGCTATGCTCTTTCAGGTAACAACTCCTAACAACATCTCTGGTTGGTAGTTAGATACAGGTGCTACTTGTCATGTCTGCTCCAACAGAGATCTATCCTCTTCTTATGTTGCTGCCAAAGAGAACGTATCACTAGCTGATTATTCTATGGTTCCTGTTCTTAGAACTGGGACTATGGTGTCGACTCTCTCTTCAAGGAAGACTCTCACATTGAAGGATGTAAAACATGTTCCCTCAATTGTTAAAAACTTAGTCTCTGGAAGCGTGCTATGTGATACAGGTATGAGGCTGGATTTCCAAGAAAGTAAGGCTGTATTATCCTTTAAAAATGTATTTTGGCAATACATATCGTACTGATGGTATGTATAAGATCAGTACTATTGCACCTAACTTGGTTATAAATAAAGTATCCTCTTCTGCTTACTCCACTGCATTATGACATAATAGGCTAGGACATGTAAATTATAAAAAACTGTCTAGCATGGAGAAGTTAGGATTACTTTCAAAATATAAGGGTAACAAACCTGAGAAGTGTGAAGTTTGCGCGGAAGCAAAGCTGACGAGGAAGCCATTTTCAAGTGTCACGAGGAGCACCAACCTGTTGGATCTGATTCATTCAGATGCATATGACTTCAAGAGCTTCGTCACTCGTGACGGTAAGAAGTACTTCATCACATTCATTGATGACCATTCTCGCTTCTACCACATTTACCTGTTAAAATCTAAAGATGAAACATTCAGCAAGTTTATCGAGTTTCGGACTCGAGTGGAGAAGTAACTTGGACTGCAGGTGAAAAAACTCAGGAGTGACAGAGGAGAGTACTGATCTAAGGAGTCGAAGCATACTTCAAGGAGCATGGAATTATTACTGAAACTACTACTCCGTATTCTCCACAATCTAATTTGATTGCAGAAATAAAGAATCACACATTGACCGAGGTGATGAATTCAATGCTAATCATATCTAGTCTTCCTACCTGCTATTGGGGAGAGGCTTTGCTGATGGCAAACTGGATTCTAAACAGAGTACTCTACTCTAAAACTGATAGTACTCCTCATCAATTATGGTTAGGATATCCAGATCCTTTGGATAATCTCAAAGTGTGGGAGTGTCTCACATACGTTCGAATTCCAGATATCAGAAGGCCTAAATTCAGACCAAAGGCTAACAAATGCGTGTTTCTTGGCATTGCTAGAGATAGCAATGCGTGCAGGTTCCTGAACCTTGGAACCAACTCTATCATTGAAGCTCGAGATGCAGAATTCTTTGAGGATAAGTTTATCAAAGATAAAGGCTTATTACTCAAAGATATAGCAGATAATGCTAGTATGTCAGATACACAAGAGGAGCCAATTTCACGAGAAACTAAAAGTGTCAATCATGACGGAGTTATTGAACCATCTTCCAAGCATATCAGGAAACATAAATATTTTGGAGATGACTTCATCAACTATAGTGTGGAAGAAGGTCCACATACTTTTCAAGAAACAATACAGTCAACAAACGTTCTTCTGTGGAAAGAAGCTATAGATGATGAGATGGATTCATTGATCCAAAATCATACTTGGGAGCTGGTGGATATACCTGAAGGTGCAAGGCCTATTAGTTATAAGTGGATCTTTAAGAAGAAGCTCCGTCTTGATGATACTATTGAAAAGTACAAAGTAAGATTTGTGGCAAAAGGATTCTCTCAGAAAGAAGGTATAGATTTTTTTGATATCTATGCACCAGTTTGCAGGATCACTACCATCAAAGTGCTTATCGTATGAGCGGCGATTGAAAGGTTCGCCATACATCAGATGG